TAATACTATTTACAATAGATCGATACAATTCTTAGTACACGTTGACGACATTGACATAAGAGAGATATTGAGCAATATTTCGAAGCATTTAAACGACGTTTGTTCTTTTATACAATGTATATGGAATTAATATGGAATATAATATAAATGTATATGGAATTATTATTATTATTATTATATTATTATTTAAACGACGGAGAAATATGTCCAAAAAACTAAACCAAATAGAGGTTGGTTACTAAGGATCCCATAGCAAATAAAGAACGGAACAGTCTTTGGAAGTCATATGTTTGAATAGAAAACAGTCTTTGGAAGTCATATCTTTGAAAATATTTGAATGCCAAAATGTTCAAGCAACACAACTTCAGCTAAAAATTCCACCTTAGAAAATTTTCGTGGAAGTATTTCCCGTGACGTGCAATCATTTGTAATGTGAATGTTTTATCTCACTGTTTTTGGGCATATTTCAAATGCCTCGCATTTGTTCTTCTTCTTCTTCTTTAAGTTCCATCTTCTATCGAAGGTTAGAAATCATCATGGCTATGCGGACTCTGTTGACTGCCGCTCTAAAAAGTTCTGCACTACTGCATTCAAACCATTCCCTTAAGTTCTTAAGCCAGGATATTCTTCGTCTTCCCACATTTCGCTTTCCTCGGATTTTGCCCTGCAAAATCCGAGGAAAGATATCTGGCCAAGATAAGTTGTAATAATGCGTATTTTTGCCCTCTCATAACATGTCCCAAGTACTCAAGTTTTCGTCTTTTAATAGTTAATATTATTTCCGCCTCATTTCCTATCCTTCTAGTTACTTCCATGTTTGACATTCTTTGATTCCATGATATTCGTAGGATTCTTCTGTAACACCAAAATTCAAAGGCGGCCAACTTATTCAGATGAACTTGTTTTAGTGTCCAAGCTTCCAAACCATAAAGAAGAGTAGAGAACACGTAACATCGAAGCATTCTCAGGCGTAGTTCTAACCTTATATCCCGACAACAAAGAAACTTTTTAAGTTTAATAAATGATGTACGTGCTATTTCAATACGTGTCTTAATTTCTTTGGTTTGGTCTACATCTGATGTTATCCATGTTCCTAAGTATTTATAGTTATTAACATTCTCAATTGCAGTATCTTCAATAGTCAATTGGATATTTGCATGTGCAGATTTAGTTATGATCATGCATTTAGTTTTCTTTAAATTTATCTTCAGTCCGTACTCATGACAGCGTTCATTAAGGCGTTGCATTAGGTTCTGTAAATCATTGTTGTTATCCGTAATTATTACTGTATCGTCTGCAAAACGTAAGTTATTTAAAACTTCTTCATAGATATACCTTCTATTGAGTCTGAGAGCGCTTCTTGAAATACCGCTTCACTGTAGACATTGAAAAGTAGTAGGGATAGCACGCAAACCTGGCGGACTTCTCTCTGTATTTTGATATTTTCGGTGTACTGGCTGTCAACTCTTACCTTAGCAGTTTGATTCCAATATAAATTAGGTATAATTTTCAACTTTCCTATATACTAAAAAATAGAAAATACCCCCAATATTTAAAAACAAGAGTCTTCACCCAACTTATACTTGAAAACATGAAAAAAATAGCAATGACCCAAAGAGCCATGAAAAGGCAAATACCTATCAGACAAGAAAATGAATACTTGAATCCGCAACAAAACAAAAAAGACCGATCTATCAACGCAAATAGCAAAACTTAAGTGGAAGTTGGCTAGACATAACATAAGAGAGAAAGACGACAGATCGACTAAGATGATTATACACTGGAGACTATATAGTTACAAACGAAAAAGAGAAAGGCCACAAATGAGATGGTCAGATGACTTAAAGAAACACGCAGGCCCAAAATGGATACAAACTGCTTACAACAGAGAGACGTGCAAAAAGGAATAGAAGGCCTATATCCAAAATTGGGCAGCAAGGGCTGTATAGATAGATAGATAGAATAAAAATATGGGTGGGGTGGATTTAGTAGATCGTATGCTTGCCGTTTGTCCGTCGCGTAGTCGTACCAAAAAATGGGCAATACGGGTTATTAGCCACCTCATAGATTTAGCAGTCGTTACCGTTTGCCTTCAAAATAGACAGCGTTAAAGAAGGAAACGCAGTAAAAATATTTGGCAAATGAGACACTATAAAATAAAATTGGGACAGAAACTAATTGAACAAAATGATGTGGACAACGATTGCGATAGCGATGAAGAAGATATAGATAGATAGATAGATGTTTTATTGGTAATAAATTAATACAAAAGTATTTTCTACAAGTCAAATAAAATAAAGTAAATGTCAATATAGTTAATATGCACACCTAAATATAAACACAAAACATCGATACATTGTTTTAAATTATACTGTTAACAATTACAACAAATTAAAATTGGAAGTAAAATACTCCTCATATGTAAAAAAGGCATTCACTATAAGGTAACTCCTAATTTTTGCCTTAAACTGATGAAAATTAAGAGCTTTTATTCTAGCTGGCACTAAGTTGTAGAATTTTATGGCTAAATACCTTGAACCATTTCTGGATCTCTCAAGACGGCTAAATTCTGGTATCAGATTATTGTTAAATCTGGTGGGATAATTGTGAAAATCTAAGACGGTTAGTTAAAAACCAATTGAATAAGTTTTTTTCAGATGTTTGGTAATCAAGGGTGTCGAATTCAGAAGGATGATAGCTTGCATAGAAAGTCGTGTCATCAGCAAATATAACAGTGTTGACTGTTTCATTTTGAGAGTACACTAGATCATTAATATAAATAAGAAATAATACTGGACCCAAAACCGAGCCTTGAGGGACACCAAACAACATAGATTGTTTTTGAGAATCACACTGGTTGAAGTGAACATATTGATCACGATTTGATAAATATGAATCAATTAGTTGAATAGCATCACCCTGAAAATTATAATAAGAAAGTTTTCTAAGCAGAATACTATGTGTGACACAATCGAAAGCCTTAGTAAGATCCAAAAACGATGCAAGAGTATCAAGATATTTCTCAAACCCTTCCAAAACATTGCTAGTGAAATTATCAATAGCTAAAGTTGTTGTTTAGCAAACAGTTTATTAGATTCAAAATGTAGATTAATTTGATTTTTTTAAATTCGTTCATAAACTTTTGATAAGATGGGCAACAAAGAAATGGGTCGATAATTGTTATAATCATCAATAGAGCCTTTATTCTTAAACAGAGGTACTACCTTTGCAGTTTTGAAAACTTGAGGATAAGAATTACAAACTATTGATTGATTTATTAAAGTTGTTAGAGGTTGAACTATTATATCTTTAATTGTTTTATATAGTTAAATTAATGCCTAAACATAAACACAGAAGAACGCAATTTACTACTTTACCATAAGTTATACGAAAGCAACAAAAAGCAATACATATGCCAGATTATGCCCCTAAACAAAACAGATACAGAAAAGATGGCTACTCCATGAAAACAACAATATTTTGCAAAAAATGTTCAATTTTCTTATGTTTTACCACTGCAAGACGTTGTTTTAGTGATTTTCACGAAAATTTATAAATTTTATATTCTTTTTTGTAGTCTTAAAAATAAAAGACATTTTTTTTTCATTTTTTAACCTTTACTAATCTTGTAATATAGGCAACCAGAGTAAAATTAGAAAGACGTTATTTTTGATTTAAAAGATCAACAACCTACATCTGTCTTGTATGTAGGACATTAATATACAGTGGACTCGCGATTATCCGAGCTAATTGGGACCGCGCATACCTCGGATACCGAAAAACTCGGATAATGCGAAGATAAAGGATTTGCTTAAAATAAACGAAAAATTCAAAGGTTATAACGTATGTAATTAGTTAATTATGTACAATTAAAATATGTAAACCTGTATACAGAGTACATAATTAAGTACATTCTCTCATCTGTGTCATCTTTAGTGACATTGTGTTGATTGTGTCACTACGTTGATTCCTGTACGTTGATTCCTGTACAGGGTAGGTAGGCAGCTTAAATATTTTTAGAAGCCCTTGGCTTCTTCGAGTTTTCAATAAGTATAGGTCTCAATTTTAATGATCCAGAAGAGTTGCTACACATCAAAACAGGTTCTTGTTCTTTGATTTTTTTGTATCCAGGCGCAGTTTTTCCTTTTTGGACAGCCAGTGTTTTGGTTGGATGCATTTTGAAATTGAGATCCGTTTTGTCACAACTAAAGATTTGGTCTGATGTAAGGCCATGCTCTAAAATGAGATCTCTCAATTTTAAATTAAACGGCTCAATTTCAGATGAATCGGCCGAAAGTTTATCACCCAAAATGTTCAGTTGTCGGATGCCATAATCTTTTCTTTCATCTGTCGAGGCAATCATCACTTAAAGTAAAATTTTCCTCGTCATCCTTAAACCGTTTGTGAAACTCGACAGCTTTAGCTTGAAGCATGGGGCCACTAATTGAACTTCAAAAGGCCTTTAAAATTGGACTAACGTTTCACAAGTCTGTGAGTATTCTCCTATTTTCCAACACCTAGGTCAGCAGCAACTTTCTTCACTGACTCACCCTTATCCAAGCGTTTTATAGCACTTAATTTTGTTTCAAAGAAACCACAACTCGTTTACATTTAAAATGTGATCACTCAAACAAGTAGTGCACACGCTTTTACTTGATCTCGCTCTTCAAGCTGATTGATTACATAATTCGGTTAATGCAGAGGCTCGGTTAATCGAGACTCGGATAATCGCGAGTCTACTGTAATGAATATTTTGGGATTCAGATTTTTTCAGATACTTTTTAAACTTCCTTTAGCAAGTCTGAAAGCTAAAAATATTAAATTTAGAAAAGAAAAAATCATTAAAATAGACAGGAGGTTAAACTGCAAATTTCATAGGTGGGCCCAACTGATATTGGGAAGGGGTTTGGATGTCGGCCTAAAAATAAAAATGGTCAATAATTTTTTACCTTTACCTAAATATTTCTCTATTATTTAATGTTTTTGTTTAATTTTTTTAGGATCATTCTACCGGCGCCAAATGGAATTAATATTTTATGAAGCTGTCATTACTTGCTCTAAATAATATGTAATGTTAGAGTATCTATACAGGTCATAGTAAATTATTTCGTGATTTTTATCTTGTGTTTTTAAAAAAAGTTTGGAAACTGCATTTTATCCAGAATTTTTAAGTTATGTTTAATTTGGCTTTTTTACAAATTTTTTACTTATCATTAATTTTATATCCCGATCTTGATTGATCGTCTTTTTTCCTTCTTTTGCATGAATTTGCCATAGGTGGTAATACTCTAATTTTTTTAAAATAATTTTTTAATAAAGTTTCTGAAATAAAATATTTACGTATATTTTATAATTTTATCCGTAAGTTCAAAAAAATTAATATAAAATTTCGAAATTTAAATATTTTTTAAACATTGATTTTAAAATATTGTTGCCCTTGTCATTATGTTGTGGGTATAGATTTTCTTTTATTTCTATGGATAATTCTAGCTTATTTTCAGCTGCTTATTTTTTCTATGCCTGTGGTTCTTCTTTGTCAGTCCAAATTTTCGACGTATTGAAAATTATAATAAAAACATTTAATTTAATTTCATTAATTTCCCACAAACTTTATAAGTAAACTACTTTTTACGCAAATCGCCAGGAAATTTTGACATTCCTGTCAAAATTTCTTGAAGAAAAAGTCAGGACTTCCTTACTGTAAGGAAATGTCATTTCCTTACTGTAAGAAAATGTCATTTCCTTACTGTAAGGAAATGATATTTCCGTACAGTTGTTAGTGTTCTACATAAATGATAGAAAACATATTGCTTATAAGGAATTAATTTATATTTTGAAAACATCTTTAATCATAACGATTGCTAAGTCTCGGCTTTCGCCTCGACTTAGCAATCTTCACAGTCGTCCAGGAATGTTAAGCTTTTCCTACCCGGTAAACAATGTACTATTTCTTTAAAGTTTATTAAATCACAATTTTGGTTATTTTTTGACACTGATCATTTTACTTAGTGTTACTAATGGAAAATAATTATACTGTTATTCTGTTGCGAAGCTAGCACATTGTGATACGAAAGTTTAGAAATAAACGCTACTGGGATTCCCCGCAATCCGTTTCTATGGCATTTGTTATTTCGTCAGCTGTATGAAATAGCGGCACAACACAAAACCTGGTAATTTTTTAAAAGAGATGTTTAACGTTTGTGCGCCAATTCTTCTTCTTCAAGTGCCGTCTCCATCAATGGAGGTTAGCGGTTATGGTGGCAAACGTTTGTCTATCTTCAGCTGCTTTTAAGAGTTCCTCAAGTCCTGTCCAGTTTCTGATATTACGTAACCAGGACAATTTTTTTCTTCCAATTCCTCGCTTTCCTTCTATTTTGCCTTTTATTATCAACTGAGGGATGTAGTATTTCTCGTTGCGCAACAAATGCCCTAAATAACTGGTTTTTCTTCTTTTGACTGTTCTCAATAGTTCTTTTTCTAAATTGAGTCTAGCTAGTACTTCTTCATTTGTTTTTCGTGCTGTCCAAGGAATTTTTAAAATTCTACGGTACACCCACATTTCAAATGCCTCGATTCTATTCAGGCTCTTTATTTTTAAAGTCCACGTTTCGACTCCATAGAGAAGAACGGACCAGATAAAACATTTTACAAGTTTTAATCTCAATTTAATATTTATATGTGTATCGCAGAGTAGAACGCGCATCTTAAAGAAACTATCCCTAGCTTGAGCAATTCTCGCTTTAATTTCTTGTTCTGGGTCCAGCTTGCAATTAATCCAACAGCCAAGTTATTTGTATTGGTTTACCTGTTCTAAAATATTCCCATTTATTTTTATAGGTAAGGGGATATTCTGTTTTCTTTGGATCACCATTACTTTTGTTTTTTTTTTTTCGTTGATCTTCATTCCAAACTCTCGACAAGCATCCTTAAGGTGGTTTATAACCCCCTGTAAGTTTGTGTCTGTAACAGCCAGTAGGACAGTGTCATCTGCATATCTTATGCTAGATATTGGTTCTCCATTAATTTTTATTCCTGTGGAAAGGTTTTCCTAGGCTTGCTTGAATAGTAGTTCCGAGTAAAGATTGAACAGCATAGGGGATAGTATGCATCCTTGCCTTACTCCTTTATTTATACTAATATTTCTAGATGTATGATCGTCGTCGATCTATCTATCTATCGATAATTCTATCTTATTCTATCTTATTTATTTCACGACATGGATTGGGATTTTTATAAAAAAAATAATTTTGGTGCATTTGGAATAGCGTTAGGGTAGCATTTAATGACTTTTAACACAGACTTTTAAATTCAACCCTTATTCTAAGTTGTGCCACTATCGTACATCAATATTTTGTCTTTCAAGACTAATTAAGGCAAAGACAAAACTGGCATTTTTTATTATTCCTTTCAACTAAAATAATGGTTCAATAAAGAATACTACAAGTTACTTGAATGAGAAAATGTGTTTATTAACAACTATAAGAAGAACAAAATAAAAAAAAGTATATATTAATAATAAAATTAAAAATGTCGGTAGAAATTAGCTTGAATTGGTGGAACACTCTTGCCTTCACAAAGGATAGTAAGATTTTTCATCTTCTTTTTCAGTTATTGGCAAGCTGCCAGTGTAAGCCTATAGTTCTATAAAATCCATGCTTTCTAAAACTTTTTTGGTTTTTTTTCTTAGTGGTATTAACTGATCTGTATTCCTCTTGTGCAAATGAAGTTTTAAAATAATAGTAGTGAGTACCAGAGCTTTTTTTACATGAATTTCACAAATATCGTTGAAATAAAAAGTATTTCCTTGGAAATCTTCATTGAAAATTGTCGCTGTTTTAGTATTTAACTTTTCCTGGTAAAAAAAATCATTATAACATCATTTGTGTCCTTCGAATGGTTATTTGCAACTAGCAGTTCGGATGAGCATAGCGTAGTGGGTCAGTAGATAAATAGGCTGTCCTTTTAAAGCTTTAGTGATATTCCTTTCTATTAAAGAGTGGCAGCTTACACTCTCATTTTGAGTATTGCCGACAACTAAATAGCAATGAGTTATAGAAGAAATTTTGAAATGAGTTACAGCGTACTGATACATTGCAATTAGATACTTGTTTTTTTCCTTGGCTACCACAATTGTCTAAGTAAAATTAGAATTTCAAATCGGCAGAATCGGTATTATAGATGTATGTTCCAAATACATCAGCAGGCACGAACTAATTTCTATGGCGCTTTTATTGTCTTTTCCTTCGTATAAACATAGCTGTGTACATTTCCCAGTCCCTTTTTTCTGAAGTTCATTTATCTTCTTCTTTAAGTGCCAAGTGCAAATGTTTATACGCATTTAAAAGTCGATTTATTATATTCCGGTTTAATGTCCATGATTCAGCTTCATAGTAGAGTACACTGTGTACATAGCATTTAATAAGCCCTATTCTGAGGACCAATGCCAAATCTTTGCTGCATAAAATCTTTTTCATTTTCACGAAGTTGGCACGTGCTTTTTCAATCCTGACTCTTATTTCTGCAGTATAATCGTTATTTTCTGTGATTATCGTTCCCAAGTAAGTATATCTTTTTACTCCCTGAATCTGCTGACCGCCTACAGTTAATATTTCGTTTGTATTGTAAGAGTATTCTCCACTATATCTTAATATTTTGTTCATTATTCTTTCTAAGTCTTCCAAGTTGTCGGCTATTATGACTGTATCGTCGGCATCCCTAATGTTGTTAATTAAACTTCCGTTCACTTTTATGCCGACTGTCCCGTTTACCAAAACTTCTTGTATGATTTCGTCAGAATAACGACGACAGTATGCAACCTTGCCTGACCCCCCTCCTTATCTCCACTTTTTCTGACAGTTCTCTTTTTCACATTTGATCGTTGGCTGTAGTATAAATTTGATATCAATGTTATCCCTCACATCCAGATTCTTGTTTTTGAGTACTTCTATAAGTCGGTAATGTTTTACCTTATCGAATGCTTTGTTGTAGTCTATGAAGTATACATAAAGATCTCGATTAACATCCAAACATCTTTAGATCAGCACGTTAAAAGAAAATAGTGCCTCTCTTGTGCCCACTCTATTCCGAAATCCAAACTGGGAATCACTAATATCCATTTCCAGCTTAGCGTGTATTCTATTATGGATCGTTCGATAATCACTACATTCTTTTGCATTTACTTTCTTTGGTAGAGAAAGAAATGTTGATGTCAGCATTTCACGTGGAATGATTCCGTAGAAGTTCATATATAGAGAAATAATTTATAATAGAAATCGAAAAGTCTCCTTTTAGCCAAAACAAGCAACTTTTTGTAAGATTTTTATTTTTCATTTTTATTTTTCACAATACTGACAATGTCCTTTTTGGGAGAAAATAATGCACAGCTAAATTCATAATTGAAAAGTTTACGATATAAACCAATTTTTACAAATTCATCAGTGTCTTTTTGGCAATCAACTTTATAATCATTGTACAGATCTGTCAGTGTTTTACCTCCTTCTATATATATTTTTTTGAGGTACTACTTCGACAATAGTGGCTCTTTATTGTCGGAATTGAAGAAAGGTGTTTATGAACCATGTTCATAGTTTCGTTACAAAATGTTTTATGCATGCTATATTTATCTCTTTGATCGTTGCTTATAAAGCCACTTTCCATCTTCATAATAACAGTTCGAATACATCTATTAGTAACTAATGGTGGATATAAAAAAACTTTTGCACATTCTTATTTTTCACGGTTTTCCAAATAAAATGTATGATTATAATTAGGGCTTGGTGGTAATTTAAATATAGACATAGATCTCAGAATTTGCTTCTTCCCATGTTGTTCTGTCTATAATCCTGTAGCATGATGTTTCTGTGGCCTCAAGTCTCCTCCAGTTGGTCTCCGCTATTATAGGGAAGTATTAGTTTTTTAGCAGCATTAGCTTTTACCTTGGTTTTTTTTGTATGCAACCCGAAGTTAAGTCTTCTGTCAAGGTGGACTCTTAGGTATTTAACTGAATCATCTGCTTGGATTTTGTTTCCTC